TGATTCACATTATTTGTTGCGTAAAATTGTAATAAATTATTTAGATGAAAATCCAAACTACAGGCTGATTGTTTGATACTGGCTGTTGCTCGCGACTTCGCCCTAGTAAAAAAAAAGATATAGCCTATGTTACCCACAGATAAATTACCTTTCTAACAGTGAAAGAATTTTTTAAATCGTCCCAGTAGTTTTTGAGTTCTGAAAAACTCTCACTCAAAAATTTGTTATTACAAATCTTTCCTTTTTACAATATTAGTGTAGTTATAGATTTATTTTTAAAAACATTATTTAATAACATTTAATTGTTTTGCATTGTGTTTAATTCTCTACGCTTTCTAAAGGGCCTGAGTATTTTTCTAAATGAATTTTCGCCATGTCGTCGCTTGCCAATCTAGCGCGACCGTCCAACTTATGCCGTTCACCTTTCTGCATCCCAACTATGCAGACTTCGACTAATTGTTGTGATACATAAATAGATGCGTCAATCTCATTTGACGTAACCTATGCCCTATATTTTAAAAACGTAATCAATTTCTACAACGGCTTTTATAAATGCAATGAGCAGTGTATGAAGCAATGCAATTTTTCTTTCCAAATGATTGTTTTAAAAATTTTTAGCAAGGATTTTGACATTTGTATATTCCTAAACCTCTTGTCTCATTGATTTGATATTGTATCAAGGATGACCCGAAATTTCGTCTCGCGATTTTGAGCTAAACTATTTAACTACATCATCGTCTTTGACTCCAAAAATCAACCAAAAAAATGGGACCCACCTGCAAGCATTACCTTTCGGATAAAAAAAGAATTATCAAATCGGCCCACTATCGGCGGAGTTATGCCGTAACACACATAAAAAAATAAAAAAAACATACAGACGAATTGAGTACCTCCTTCTTTTGGGAAGTCGTCAAAAACCGCGTTTTTCGTCGAATTTTAGCAACGATCCGTCTATGTCTTCTTGTTTGTAGATTTATGTTATGTCTGGTTCAGGCTTGAGAAATAGTTTGCATCTACCGTGGATCTATTAATCAATCCAACTGAAATGCAATAAATTTTAAATTTGTTGCAATTATTTGTAAAACATTTGACCAAGATGCAAAAAGCAAAATTCCTGACTAGAAGAGCACTCACACACACTTTGTTTAAGTAACAAAGGCGTCAACAAAATCAAGTTTTTATTTATCACTAGTTTTTGCCCGCGACTCCGTCCGAATGAAAAAAAAGTATCCATTGTGTTCTTCCAGACTCCTCTACAGGTACCTATGCCAAATTTCAACTAGATTCGTTAAGCAGTTTAGGCTCTAAACATTTTCTATTCTTTCTTTGTTCCATTTCAATTTGCTGATATGTAATACTGTCCCAAAGCCGAATCTAATTTTGGCGCCGGGGGGGTGGTCTCGTAGTCGTGGTCAAGTCAAGAGTGATGATGATGACGGATCCAGGGGGGATCCGCCGTTGCATATAGGATATCTGGCCGAAAGGAGGATTAGAACTAATCGGCGACATATTCATGGTAGGATGGCATCCTTGATAGTCCCTAAGGTACCCATGCTCGTCTCACCACTATTTTGTTCCATTTATTTATCTTTGTCGGAAAAATTGTAAACATGCCAGCTAGCTATAATAATTTTCATTCGGAATGTTCTATTTTTAAATACACCAATGTCATTTGAAAACTTTACGATTCCGGAGGTACACTATTTTCAGCGAACACCGTATTCATGTTTACGAATTAATTTACCCAAGAATAAGATATCCAGACATTATGTGATTATCTGGACCGTGTAGATTATTCGTTACGTAAAACCTGTAATGTTTTCGCTTTGTCCTCTTGTCCTACAATATGCGTAAACTGCGGTTACTGTGGCATTTTATATTTATAATACTCTACTTATATTTTGTAAATATTCCGTATAATTTATTCATTGGCGTGAAAGTTTGTATATGATTAACCGAATCGTCGCATAATCGGTTCATAGTTTTACTAAAACTTATCAAGCTTAGAGAAGTGGTCGAGGAAAAGGGAAATCATTTCCCATGGGCTTTACCAAAAGCGTATTGAAATTAGTTAATGTGTGGATATTAGATGAGGTTGACAAATATTAGCGCAATGAGTTGGTGAGACCGGATGAGTAGATGAGGGCGGATGTGGTATAATTAGTGGCGGAAGCGCGAGTACCCGGGTCAGGGGCGTCCGCGCAGGTGACACACCTGCCAACCCAATGGCAGGGACGAGCGCGTATAAATTTCAGCTACATTGCAATAGGCAACAGCTAAACAATTTTTTAACTACAACAGATTGTTTGAATTATCAATTTTTTTTTATAATAAAAGGGTACAAATGAGCAGCGTGAACACCAAGGTGGTCAATGACGCCCATGGACATCCGCAACACCAGAGGAACTACAGATGCGTTGCCGGTCTTTGAGGAAATGATAGGCTCGCTTCTTGAAGGACCCTAAGTCGTATGTGTAAATGTATGGGTGTGTACTTCTACCGTACAAAAGTTTGTTTTGGTGTTAGATTCTTATGATGATGATGATGATGATGACGACGACGATGATGATGATGATTCTTATACTGTGGCGATGGTATCCTTTTCTTCAATTTAACCATCCTCAGAGGTTTAGGAAGCTCCAACTGACGTATAAAAATTATTGCCTTATTAACGATTGTCCTATTCTTGTTTTCAGGTAAGTCATTGGGAGACCGATCAATGCAAGGATCTGGAGGAATCAACGTTATGCGTTGTAGGTTTGTATTTGTTTTTTTTTACAGTTTAAAGGATAAATTATGATAACACAGCTGATCTCTCTCTGTATTTAAGACCAGCACTGTCCTGACCCTCTGTAGGGACAACTACAAGCTGGTGACACAATCTTAATTGATGTGTCTATACTAATGTTATAAAGGGGAAAGGTGATTATTTTTGTATATTTTCATATAACTCAAAAACTAATGAGCCGATTTCAAAAATTCTTTCACCATTAAAAAACTATGCTATCAGTGAGTAACATAGGATATATATTTTTATTATTTATTTATTTCACGCGGGTGAAGTCGCTAGCAACAGCTTGTTTGCTTCTAAATGCGATGTAAAACTATTTAAACAAATTCCGGTTGAAATTATTATTAACAAAAACACTTGTAATCTGGAGTGAGATTTAGAAAACATTCTCAGAATTGTTTTTCAAACATCAATAGATTTGAATTCGTAGGAAATCGAATCGTTTGGTCAATTCTCAGTAAGTACTTGATAAATGCACTCACCTGGTCATATTTTACGCAAACACAGATACATACGGTAAATGGTATATGTAAAGAGTACAGAGAACGGTTAAGAAACGACGTTAAATTTTATATTAAGCTGATTATTATCTATAGTAATATATAAGCGAAAAAATTTGTATTTTTAGACTTTTGTATGTATTCGATTCATGTAATAATTACTGGGCCGATTTCAAAAATTCTTTCACAATTAGAAAAGTAGTTTATCCGTGAGTAACATAGGCTATATTTTTCATTATTCTTTAAATTGACGCCAGCGAAGTCGCGAGGTAATACTAGTATTCAAATATTGTTAGAATGTAGTTATTAATCTTTAAGAGCAATTGTTGGAATTAACCTTATCTTAAGACTTTTAATTCAATGTAAAAACATAACAAGTGCTTAAATAACTCAATTGTTAATTCATCACCAACTTGCCCTTATCCCTTATGGAGGGTCGGCACAGTATGTGCTGCTCTTCCATACATTTCTATCAGCCGTCATATCTGAATCCACTCCTTTCTTAAGCATATCCTCTTTCACACAATCCATCCATACTTTCTTCGGTCTTCCTCTTCCTTTGTAGCCATTCACATTCATTCTTAACACTTTCTGGTTTATGTCCCCATTGTCTCGTCAATTACGATAATTAAAAAATGTAATCCACAGATAGTAAAAGTAAACGAGGAGATTGTGTAAGATTCATACTATGAAAGAGTGCTTTGCTCTTTTATTTAAAAAATCAGGCAATGTTAGATTGATTAATTTAGGAATATCCACACAGAAACAACCATTCTAGTTAGATGTAGAACATTGAACTTTAACGTAAACTGTACAAGATGCAATATCGTGTTTACCTGTATACTGTCTAGAAAATCTTGCAACTATTAGTACAAATGTTACATCGAATAGTGAATCTTATCCACTTGCTTATAGAATTGCAAATCGCGTGAGATTACCCTGGGATATGGTACGGATTTATCGCGGGCCGTTAGGGTGCCGCATATTTATATTAAGTGGGGAAGCTGTCAGCGCCTACGCTGACGCCTTCTTTGGATGGCTCTATACAATATAACAGTATTCTAATAATTCCAATATAAACAATGAAAAATAGTCAAAAATAAAAAAGATAACCTCAAAAATTTCCAAAAACGCCAGAAGCAATCGACTCGTAGCATCAGTTTAATTTTCAAATTCCTTTATTTCTCTCAGTTTATTTAATTGTTAAATTTCACCAATAAAAAATAAGAACGGGATTATTGTTAATATCTTTGTTTACATCACAACCTCATTAAAAATCAAAAGATTCCTCTCGACGATAAAGACAAAGACTTTGATATTCAGCCAAATGACATCATCAGAAAAATTTTATAAAAAGGACGTAAAATCATTCGATTAACAAATCGATGTCTTGTCAACTACCATTAAGTATGAAAGAACGCGAATCGTCAGCCATTCACGACAAATTCCTACGGCATTAAAATACAAAACTATGATCAAACGTAAAATAAGATAATCGCGCAGTCGCCAAAAGTTTAATCAAAACCGTTTTATTCGTGAAACGACGACACTTAGCTCTTTCGACTAGATCGTCCAACTAATAATATCGCGCATGTGAAATGTTTTGGCTGGTGCTTTTTGTTCGAGGCGGGTTATTTCAGTTTTCCAGTAGGATTCTGAGCAAGAGCAACAGTGGCCGTATACACTCCGCTCGCTACAAAGTAGCTGCCTCGCCGCTTAGACCGCGCGGTCAGCGATGTGTTTCGATTAATAATTCCTAGTGCCGATAAATCGATTATGAAATATTGACGTGCCCCATCCCTAGTGTAGTGAATGTGTCAAAGTTATAACGAAGTGTGAAGTGGAATTAGTTGATCATGACGGAATTCTATGGATCATGGAGCGACGGCCGCCCTGGCGACGGCGTTGGGGATGGAGACGAGGTGGAGGAGACCGTGGAGACGGTCGAGACCATCACGACGACGACCACGACCAGGAAGACGGTGCCGTCGGTAAGTCCGCGCCGGCCTTGAACGTGATTCAGTCTACGTATTTTCGCTCCGACGACTTATTTAGAAGCGGAGGAATCCGGCTTCGAGTTTGTTTGATCTGCGTAAACTTACAGCGTCGAATATTCTAATATATATGTAATATTGTTGGGGTGTTTATTTTGGAAGCCGCGGATGTCAGGGACGCTCGGCGGCCGGCGGCGGTCACCTGACGCGAGCCAGCCCCGAGGTGAAGGCGATACTCGCCCGTCAAATGTCAACTCGTTTATAATGTGACGCACCGCATCTTGATACTAAAAATAACTTATATCTAATGCTGCAAACCATTTAAAATATTGTGATAAATGTAAACGTTGGAAAATATCAGTTTTTATTGTTGTTGCCGCTGTGATAGAGAACGCGTTGCCAATTGTTCTCCTTTGTCAATGTCACAATGTTGTCGTAATGCGTTTGTTTTTAACACACACCTAATCAACAAACAACGATTGTGGTAACTGAAATTTCCTGTCTGGAAGCGTACAAAATATCAAAATATCCCTTCCATCTATAATGTACTTGTAAGAACTGAAGCAGTATAAACATTAAAAATTAGTTTGCATATCATTCTTTCAATTACTGGCGACATTGATTTGAATTTAAGTTTCATAGTCTATTTGAAAATAACCAACTAAGAGCCCTGATCTTACTGCAAATAATGTGCAAGTAGATGCGGCTGTTGCCATTCGATAAATTAGAAAAAACACATTCATTTTGAAATGTGCAGTGCTCGTTATTTTGTAACAATTTCTTTAATTCTATCTCAACAGTCTACACGGTAGATCACACGTTAACTGACGTCACCGCGCTCTATTTTCCAGGTTGTGCGAGACCAAACATATTTACAATGATATTTTTACGTTCACGCCTCCAATTGGTTCAGTTATAGTCAACTAGTGTTGAAAATATCACTGAGAAATATAAAACTAAAGACCCATTGCGGATGCATCCGACAACAAACTCAAAAATACTAATCCAAATTTGATATAATCTTCATCAGTAAATGGCACTACAGTTAGTGGCTTTTAAGGTTATTTTGTTCGTGTGTGTAACAACAAAATCAAATGATTGTGACAAAATCTATTTAACAAGTTAATCTACTAATTTAATTGATTATCTTTTATCTACTAAATATTTTTTACTATTTTTTAAATTTAGTAATAAAAAAATAAGTTAACATTTTCTATTATTGTCGATTATTTGACTTGCTTTACAGCTCGTAAAATTCTTCAATGTCTCCCGCAGGTCATTAGAGTATTTGTCTCAAAGCTCCAACTCGATGTTTGTCTAGAATCTAGATGTAATCTCTTCATGAGACAAGATAATAGTTAACAAAATATTTCATATTCCGTATGATCAACAGACTTTTCAACTTTATCTCCGTGTTACCAAGTTACAAGTCAAAATATGGAAAACAAGCACTAATAACCTATGTGATGTGTTTTTAAACTACAACGGAGTTAGGATACAGTGAGTAACAAATGAGTCTCCGATAACATTTGAATTAGTAACAAATTGTTAGTTCCTAGGAGTATAAAACGATTGTTAAAACGTAACCGCATAAGCTTTGTCTTTTGCATGTTTTATATCATGATTCAGAAGACGATAAATTCATAAAAATATTGAACATAAAAATTAATTTAACAGCTTTATTACATCATAAAACTAAAGTACTTTGACATTTACAAGTGGCTATAACATAGTCGTGCCTTTTATAAAATTGTAAAGATGTTACTCGATACTGCATGGTCAATTATTATCCATTACAAGGCAATCCAACCGTTAAGTTGCGTATAATAGCCCGGTTCTATTCAGGTTTCGTTACTAGTCATAAATGATTATTTATTTTATGCAATACTAGCTTTTGCCCGCGACTCCGTCCGCGTGGAATTGAAAAAAACAAAAGTAAGGAACCTCTGTGTTCTTCCAGACTATCCTCTACATCTATGCCAAATTTCATCGAGATCCCTTCAGCCGTTTAGGCTACAAACTTTAACAAACATCCATCCATCTAAACTTTCACATTTATAATATTAGTAAGAAGTAAGATAGTAAGATTTATCGACTAATCTTCTAGATTATATTAATTTTGAGAAGTTTTATGTCTATACCATCTACAAATAAAAAGTACTTCCTAGTTTGTGGACCTTTTTGACCGACTTCCCAAAAGAAGGAGGTACTCAATTCGTCTGTATGTTTTTTATGTGTGTTACGGCATAACTACGCCGCTTGTGGAACGATTTTGATATTTTTTTTATTAATCGGTGTCAGTCAATGTAGATTCATTACTTAAACGTTACTATACTTTCGATTGTCAATTGTTATGGTAAAAATGTAGAAAGCCTTACGTAGAAATATCACCTCGGCTGAATCCGACATCAAAGTAATAATAATTGTACAATATAGACGTAACAGCTACAATAAGGAAGGTTTACTATTTTCAAGGAATTATTTCGTTACTTATTAATGTATTGTTTTTTTGAGAATATTTTGTCTTTAGTGTATTTTGTTTGGAAGTCGGTTTTTTTTTTTAGTAAAAATCTTATTTTTTAATGATTCAAGGTCTTATTAGACCCTAAAATCATATTGAGCATAATCCAACTTTTCTAATAATGTACAGTCAGATTATAAAATGCCAAGACCGAAAGTAAAAAAAAAACTATAAACACGTGACTCTATAAGCAATGTTTTGCATTGTTTCTTTGTAAACGTTCTCATGGTAATGGCAACAAGGTAACAAATCTCATCAAATAACAATAATCCATTGTATGGCGTTGTGTAGACAATCAGTTTACGTAATTGAAACTACCTTGAAAGAGACAATTTAAGTAGTGTTTAGATTTAAATTGGAAGCTAAATGTGAGCAAATAGAAATAGCGGACGCGTTACACAATTTTCTAGATGTTCTCAAGTCTGTATAAGTAATTAAAATTGCTTTTCTAAAACAAAACAGTTAGTTAGTACATAAAGAAACAGTTATACTGCGATAATGTTAACACTTTTAAAGATTCATTATGAAGGAAACCCTTGTCGTTGTTACCCCTTGCGAATGACGCATAATTCTAACCTATAAAAAGTTTACCCGTTTGAAAGGGCTTTGTGCTTCATATGTAGATGAGTCATCTTTGAATGTTTACGTTACAAAGCGCACTTTATATTGCCCGATGACAACATTACTGCTCCTTTTGCTGTTCCCTTGTAAAGTACTACATGTGTTTTCAATTAAGCTGATTATCCGAAACGACGGATACGATGGTGTAAAATTAACTCTAAAATTCATTGGCTCCAACGTAAATAATAGTATCCCACAGTTTTCGCATTTGCATGTTTCTTTTTTAATGTGTACAATTTGAAATGAAAATTTCATTTTCGTATTGATTAATTCATGTTTTTTTTTAAGCTTGCGATTCACACATACGATATTTTATGTAGGAATTATGTAAAAAGCGAATGAAATAATGTTTATGGTTTGTATTGATTTTAAATCTTTTATGAATAAAATCGATTCAATCTAGTGGTAAAATGGCAATGTCATCTATACTATACTATATATATTATAATAAAGCGTAAACACACACTTCTTTGTTGCCTAAAATATCAGCAATTACAGCATATTTTTGAATAATTATTTTTTCAATAAAAAGACCTACACTTACGTCACGCTTTAGGCTATATATTTTCACGCTATTAAATTTAGTGGGTAAATAAATTGTATGAAAATCCTAATGTGGGAAAGAGACCATAAGTTGCTGCCAACACCAAGGAAACAAGATTGCCATGGATTGTCTTAATGTCATGTCATTTTGACATTTGCTATTGATAATTTGACAAATATAAACGATAAAATAAAGTTTTTATAATTACCTGCGGATAAAGCCGCATGGGAACCGCTAGTTGATTATTGTTCAAAAGTTTGACTGTTCAATAATATTGTCAGTTAGAACTGAGCGTATATAACGGGCTTTACATTGATTAATACACTGAAATTTATTAATATTTGTTTTAAGCCGATAATTCTCGAAGAGTCGTGTGCGCTACACCACTTCGTATATTTTTCGCTGCAGCCTCTAATTCTGTAGTGTTCTAAAACAATCTGTAATGTATAAAATCCAGAGTAAACAGTGGTTATGATTCATTGAGTTCGTTCTACATACTGAAATACTGCGGCCGTTTCCTTGACACATTGTTACAACAATCATTTAATTACATTGTTGCTGGTCAGTTTTGATAATTGAAATATACGAAATAGAGTCAAAGGTTTTAACATTAAAATGATATGATTAAAAAAATGTTTTGTTACTAATTGATTGTTAGAGAAAAAATAAACGTGTTTATGTTTACTTATGCACTTTTCGTAAGGACCTCCGAAGCTAACAAATCTAATAATCATATTTTCCGATCATTTTTATTAATCTTTATATTATCGTCTGTGTTGCTAGAAAGTTATCAGAAAAAAACAGAAATACACAATTTTCGTTACCATTAGTCAGATTGACTTGTATAACCTTAGAACTGGGTACAAATAGGTCACTGTGACGCTGTGCTGGAGTGAGGAATGTCTCGCATATTTCCAGCGTAGTTTCACCACAAATATAAACATTTCACCAAACATTTGAGGGCGGCAGTACGTCGACCCCATGCAGGAAACATCAGGCTAGCAACATCGATTCCATTCGTACAGACTATCGAAAGCTTTGCAATATTAAACACATCGATTCATCATCGATCTTATAAGGTTAACTTAAGTGTGAAAAATAGCGGAACTAACTTATATTTCTAAACAAAACTCGAAATATTTTCAGATGTTTTTTTATACGAGAGTTTTCATAACATTTGTAATATACTAGCAGTCGCCCGCGACTCCGTCCGCGCGAAATTTAAAACATATAACAAAAAAAAGAAAAAAATATAGCCTACTAGCTTTCGCTCGAGAATCCGTCCGTGTGGAATTAAAAAAAACAAAAGTGAGTGGCCTATGTGTTCTTTCAGACTATCCTCTATATCTGTACCAAATTTCTCCGAAATCCGTTCAGCCGTTTAGTTTAAAGATGGCGCCTTTTTCTGGCCACTGGCGGTCGGGCACCCTACCCTAAAGCTGCACTGCTAGGAACATAAATCAAGCAATTATTATCATATCTATTAGTAATAGCATTTTTGTAATCGGTTAATACTGTTATATTATCAATACATATGCAAATTATTATTATCTATGACTTGATTCACGAGTTCCGACTGTTGCCAACACTAATTGCTGGAAGTGGGTTAATTTTGAGATGGTTACGAACCATTTAACTGTTGGCGTTAACACTAATTGGATTGGCAGTATTAGAAAGTTACCTATCATTACAAACCTTTCTATTGAATAATAAATTATGTTAACTAAATTCGGATGATTTCGAAGTCGTTAAGAAGTAAAGAATTTTGTATTTAATAAAACATACTAAACAACTCATTGTTTAGTATGTTTTAACTCTCAAGTTGTTATAAACTGAACCGCTTAACTGCATTATTTTAATAAACATGAAATGGAGGAATAAACACTTTAAATCCAAAGCAATATGACATATTTTACAATGAAATCATGTGTCTTCCCGCTAACCATTCGTTGACAGTTGACAGAAGTGCTAATTGCAAATGACAAGCGCGCGAAATATACAATGCGATTACGCGCCAAAACACAAAGACTAACGCGCGTAACTCGAGCGATTGAGCATTGTAGAGTATCGAGAAATGGGCCGTTATTTCATTCGATACTAGCGTAAATCGATTCCGGCCCACACGCAACTATGAAACTCCATCTAAATGCAATTATTGTTGCTATTCAAATGCTTTGTGTTGTCTTTATGTGTTGAAATATTGTCTCTTTATTGTATGTAAATGGGTAGTTAGTATTAAATTGAAATATATAAGCTGGATAGCTTAGGAGAGAAATGGCGGCGTTTATTATTATTTTTTAGTTCAATTGTAATATTCAAAATATTATTTCTTCTAATCGGTATGATAATTTTCTTTTCATGTAATTGAGGATAAGTGTGGCAATCCTTAACGGTGATGATTTTAATAAAAATGTGTAAACTGGCGTCTGAGCGAAGTTTATTGAAATGTTGGAGCTTGGAATCGTCATGAAATATTTTTATGACGTTCTGTTCGACAAACAGAAATATACCAGATGCTGTTAAAATGTAGGTTATGAAATTTTCTAACGTTCCGAGACTTTAAGATCGTTTTCCAGATAATAAATCACTCCAAGAAACCTATCTGCCTGAACCCATGATTGTAAACAATATCGATCTATTCCCGTACCAGAAACAATAGTGGGGAATTAAAAAAATAAATCTTTCATCACATGTATACGAAAATAGATCCTTTGTTTGGTGTAGTAAAGTCTAAAATCGTTCAACTTGTACGTATTTAAATACAACATTGTCGATCTGTGTCGGTCGACACTTAAAATAGAAGCGGGCGGCGCGGGCGCAGCGAGATAGGTACATTTTTGGAAATCAAATAAAAGCAATGCAGCTAAAAATAAAACGAAAGCAAGGTTGGGTTCAAATAGAAAGGGGAAGATCAAATATGTCACGGCTGGTAATAACGAAGGTCTTTCAAGGTAGAAATGTGCTTAAAATACATATAAACTTGTTCTACGAAAATAATTAAATCTTTTTTGAGATACAAATAGCTGTACAAGTTTTATAAAGCATTTTTCCGATTACTAAATTACATAAATGAAAAATCCCGGAATACGAACAGGGTTAGAAAATTAAAAGATTATGTATTACATAAACTGGTTTTAATATATATTCAATATTGTACAGAAATAAATATAAACAATGGATACATAAACTAATAGATAATAAATAATATAAAAATATATAAAAGTGAGCTATTGTAATATTACAAAATCATAGTAAACACCATATTATATTCGCGTGAAAAGGAACGTATTTTACACAAAAAAATCCATTTTTTTTCACACAACATGCATTTTGTAATATCATAAAAGTTACTTCAAACAGTCTAATATCAAAAGAGTACGAATTATATTTCAGTATTCAAATCGGATACATTTATACATGAGGTACAACAACTTCAGGGACGTGTTTGTGGAAGATATGAACATCCTGTATGTAAAGGTTGGGTACTGCATCGGCCTGCCATTGGTACAGCGGCCTGTCGAGAGGGTAACCGAATGGTTCGTCGCTCAACCAGCGAGCACCGGAACCNAGACCGTAAGAAATGGTCGGGTCGAAGTTGCTACCCTGAGGAATCTTGCTCGGACGGAATTCAGAGATGTGTGCCAGAAGAACGAATGGGAAACCACCAACACGACCTAGAAAGAGAAAGAATATTAAGAACGTGTTCTTAAAAATAAAATCAGTACTTCGCATGCGTAGATTATTAGCAAATACGTCCCGTCCCTATCTGACATCTGTCAATGTCATTCAGACGTAGAATAAGCGCGCCATTCTGACAGCAGACAGTGGTCTGAGTGTTTCAGTTAATTACGTTGTTACAATTATAGTAATTGTGTAAAAGTGCATATTGACAGTATCATAAGGATAAATATTTCAATTATGAAGCCTAAGGCACAGTTGCCATCGTTAAGTCTTCTGTCAATAATATTACACAAAACATCTGTAATAATGGTTTATGGTTCTGACTGCTTCTTTAAATCAGGTAATACTGACTTTTATATTAACTGAATAATAATTTTACCTTTAGGCAAAAGAAGGTGTTCAGGGAATCCATTAAGACGATGAGTCTTGTCAAGAACGAATTGTCCTTTGCCGTGCAGTGCGTTGTAAGCCTTCTCGTATACCTCATAGCCAGGAGTCCAATTACGGATCGTAAGCCAGTTGTCAGTAGACTCTCGCTTGATGACAACATTTCCAACCGGTACTATAACATAAAACATACAAGTATTATACATGGGTTATATAATTTTCACAGAAAAAACCCGAATCCAGTAAAAGAAGGAAAGAAAAAAATTCAATAAAAACTTACAATCGTACGGGAAAATGTCCAGCAGGTAGAAGTTTTCAGTGTTCACATGCAGAGGAATTTCGTCACCGTAGCTGTCGTATTTAGGTGCCAAGAAGAACTTAACAAGAACAGTCTTGGCTACTTCGCTGGTAACGTTAACACGTACAGTGAATACTTTGTGGTTTAACTGTGGACGTTGAACTAACACGGTAACATCATCAACTACTGCCTTGCCTGGAAGAAAACATAGCGTTAAAACTTTTTTTCAATCAAACAGACAAAGAAATAAAACAAACATAAGTAACTCACTTTCATGTTCATTCAAATGCAGATGGTTGGTGACATTATAGTGCACGTTTTCGAAGAATGTTACCAATTTGTCGACCTCAACGCTCTTGATGGTAACAGATGGCACTTTCAGATGATGGACATCGTAAGAAGGTAGAGTCTTTTGCCATTCAGTGAACAGTCCAAGAACGCGTTTCCAAATGAAATAGAAAGCAGGATCACGAAGAGCAGTTTGATAGTGTTCCAAGACAGATGGAACTACAAGCGCAACCAGGCTGGAAAAGATATTTTTGTCATACTATAAATGTGAAAGTTTAGGTGGATGGATAGATGAGTGGATATTTGTTAGAGTTGGTAACCTAAACTGCTGAACAGATCTCAATGAAGTTTTGCATAGATGAAAAGGATAGTCTGGAAGAAAATATACGCGACTTTGTTTTGTTTTTTATACCACTAGACGGAGTCGCAGCCAAAAGCTAGTATTACATAAATCTATATTTCTATATACATAATATATAATATTTCTATTACGTCAGTTAATTCTAAAATACCAGTAAAGTAAACTTACTCTTTATGATAGCGTTCCTTGTGCCATAAAGTGTTACCAAGAAGAGCCTTCCAAATGCTGATAAAGTCCTTGTAGTATTTGGGGTTAGGAGAATCAACACCACCCTCTATTAATCGGCCGAGAACGTCAATAGCTTGAGGAGTGTCGATATTAATGTGCTCACCGACATGCTGTTAAAACACAATAAATCATTGAAAACAATTCATAAAAAAATTAATTTACATTTTTTTATTATCTTCTCAACTTACATTGACGACAAATCCTTTGTCGATGGCTTCGCGAACGCGGTTTTCGTAATCTTGAATCTTAGTGATGGCTTCAGCGAACTCAGGTTGGTCAAGGTGGAAGTGGTTAGGTCTGACCGGGTACAAAATGCCATTGTGGTATGAGATTTGTGGTACATATCCTTGTTTAACCACGTTGAAATCGAGCACTGGTATTTCTCCTAATCCATTAGACAATCTTTCCAAGTAGTATCGAGTGATGATTTGCTTATGCAAGAACCACCAGAATTCACCACGTCTGTCTTTAATCAAAGGTGTTTGTTCTCCTCCGAGCCAGTAGGGGTACAGCAAGTTGTGATTGTAGTAGAATGCATTATAGGTTAAGTCATGCGTGAAGTAAGCAAGAGTATAATCTTCGGTAAAGTAAGGCCATACGGTGTCGTTCCACCTTATTACAACATTCTCGTCCCAAACATAGGTAGATGGGTAGTGTTCAACCCATTGTTTTCCGTGAGTATTGATTCTCTGCGCGGTAGTAAGTACTTCGGTATTGTGGAAGAATGAGGGGAAAATGTCGTAAATTGGTGGGATCACAATGCCTTGAGTACTCGGATGGTGTAATATCACAACGCTCAGGACATAAACGAACAGACCCTCGTTAATCTTGTTCCTAAGAAAGACTGCAGTCTTATAGAATGTGTCACAGTCTTTAGCTGAATATAAAACATTGTAGACAAGTTTCGCTTCGAACACGTGCGTGGGCTCCAAAACTGAGAATGGTACACCACGAGGCAGTATCAAATCGTTCGTAACAAATTCCCAGTATAATTTTACAGCAGTTTCGTTCTGCAATAAAACAGACAATGTTAATGTTTAAAGTAACAAGTGTCTTTAATTAAAACCAATATTTAAAAGTTTTGCTTTGGTTAAATTGGCCTTTCATTGCTACCGAAGAATTTTTAAATCATACTAATGATAAATGTGAAAGTTTAGGTGGATGGATGTTTACTAGAGTTTGTAGCATAAATAGCTGAACGGATCTCGATGAAATTTGGCACAGTTGCAGAGGATAGTCTGGAAAAACCGATAGGCTACCTTCTTTTGTTTTTTAATTCCACGCGAACGAAGTCGCGCTCAAAAAATATCTTAAATAAAATGTATACTTACGGTATATTTCTCGATATTCTGGATAAGATTCCATTGATCCCAGTGCTGCAGCTCCGGCTCGTGAATCGGCTCGTGAATGTGATAGAACAAGTTCAATATCTCAACTTGGTGTTGCAGGAATTCATGATCAGCTGTAGACATAAAAAAAATATCATAGATGTTATATATGTTACAATTATTTCGTATAGAAAGATGTTTTTGTGCATTTGAGAAAACCGTGCTCCTAACTGTCGTTATACCGACAGTAACTCACAAGTAATTACTCCAAAGTCCAGTATCGAAACCAATTTACACCTTACTAACGCTCGCCTAACGCCGTGTTGAACGGAATGTGTGTACGATCAACGCGTTTTCCACGCATCGTCTAACGCCCAATGTGAACTAGCTCTTAGACTTCTAGGCGATTGCATCTTGTAATAACAGAGGGGCAACTTACCAACTCTCTGATGCACCTTATGGACAGGATCTGCCAGCCCACAGGCAAGCAATGCCAACACACACAACACCAGACGAGCCATGTTCGTTAGTGAAGACCCTATCAATACTACCCCTTTATATACCACAATACTGCAATATTATTCGGTAATTATCTAGCTTAGGTCAGGTATAATGTAAATAATAACATGCACCGTTATCTTCCAATTTAACTTTGGCTTATGTAAGTACGAATTTTTATTATTAATATTCTATGTTTACGTAGTTACTTAGGTTATATTGATTTATACATAACCAGAATCTTCCATGATCATCTAACTTGTACAGTCAGCAACAAAATAAACAACCTTTGTCTTACAACACCATGCAAAGTTAAAAAAAAAAAGAAAACAAAAATAAGTACCATATGTGCTTTTCCAGACTATGTACTAAATCTATGACAAATTTCACCGAAATTCCTTTAAAATCATTCATCCGTACATCCCAATTTTCACATTTATACCTAGTTAGTTACAAATTTATTTATGTCTCAAAAATACGTATGCATGTATACGTTTATCACATGTATTAATTGCAGACGAATACAAGGCACATGCGAGTTTCTGAAGTTTTGTAAATGTATGCATACTTATTTAGTTAACTGTACCTATCTGTACATCCAATATTATATTTGAATGTTGTGTTTGCGCGGTACTTCGTCAAAGTGGGATTTAAAAAAACTGTCTGAAACGCCTATGAATTCTTCCAGACTATGTTCTACGTGTCAGCAAAATTTCATCGAGATCCGTTAAACAGTTTTGGAGATATGTTCTAACAAACATCCATCCAAACTTTTGTATTCATAATATTAATATAACTACATCACATTTATCAACATTTCATTAAAATTGATAAAAGAACTAAACAAAAATCTTACTAATATGAATTCGAAAGTTTAGATGGATGGATGTTATTAGAGTTTGTGAAAAGATCGATGAAATTTGGCATATATGTAGAGGATAATCTGGAAAAATACATAGGCTACTTTTGTGTGTGTGTGTGTGTTTTTTTTAATTGCATAGAAACGGATTCGCGTACGAATGCTAGTAATTAAAAAAGTTCAACATAAATATCGATTACTTATCATTATCAGTTTTAATAAAAACAGTTTATTTTCTCGTGATCAGCTTCATATTGTTTGCATATTATTTATCGATTACTTTAACAAAGGTCATAACAATGAATTTCATCACATAAAAAGGTAATTGACTTAATATAACTGATATCGGGAGGTTTGTAAGTAACTATTACGCAATACGTAAAAAACTGTCAAAGAATAATGAACGTTCATAACTATGAAATAATGCAATAAGCATAAGAAGTGGGAATGCATTTATTTCAATCAAGCGATTACAATTTAACATTATCAGTAATATCATCTTGAAAGACCTAAAAGTTCTAAGTTAAAAATGGATATTAAAAATTTAAACGTTGGCTTTGTTTCCGATTTAAAAGGTACGTTACAATATCTTTCTACATAAATTAATGTAAGTCAACTCCATCCTCATTGTTTAAAATAATTAATCAGGTTGCGTAGAAAGAAGAAATCGGTACCGCGTCGAAGTAGCGGTGCAACACTATAGCAATGGTATACAAGTCCCTTCCCTATTACACCTGTCAATGTCATTTAGAAAGATTAAGGATTAGCGCGCCATTTCTGGCGGGAATCGGTAGACTATTATCGAAGCAGATTTAAGTTGTTTCCAATTATATTATTGTTTTTAGGTACTAAAATTGGTAGAAAAAGGTTGACGTGACAAGAGTAATTCACTTGGCATAATGGGCTTACCTTCGTTGGACGCGTCAGAAGTTTTGATATGAGCAATGTAGGATCAAACCCACGTAAACCCCTTCGATGACCAACTTCTAGTGAAATAGTTCCGAGATTACCAAGAATCAAATTTATATTAGTCTATTTTTTGTCTTTATTTGAAGGCAAATGCCTATATTATCTTAATCAAAATATTGTCAACTTCTTCCAATATATTATTTGCATTTCAGTAGCGGTAGGCTCTTCTACTTTTATTTATGCATTGCATCTGGCATTAAAAAATCGTAATGTCAAAGTTTGTTACAATCCTCGGACTATCCTAAAATTATAATAAATGCAAAGATTGATCTTGATTGAACAAAATAGTAATTAAAATGATGCAATAGTCTTAGTATTCCAGTAAATACTAATGAGAAATATTGCTCTATTAATTGTCGCACCTACATCTTAAAATTAAAACAACGTGAGAGAAGAACCGCTTTCTGTTATGTTGCAATGTAAACTTGAAAAGGAAACTCGCCGTCGTCTCATTGACGAGAGAAAACGTTCGATTTCGCTTACATTGTCACTTATGTGGTTTTAGTAATATCTCTTTATTCACTTTCATTTCTTTTTTTCTCTACGATTTTGATAGAAATGAAACCTGAATAAAATACGTCCGGAAACACAGCGGAGTGAATGAAGTTAATATTTTGATTCCGTTCAATTATTTTAAACACTGTTTAAACTTCTTTTGTTTATGGTAATATCAATAAATACTTTCGTATAGAAATGCTTGTCGGATACGTTTGATTCAGTGAAAACTGGAGCAAATGCTTCCCTGCGTACTAATGTATCCACAGAAATGTGCAAAGAAATCTAAACAACTTATTTCTTTCTACTTTCACTTGGAACGTGGATATTCTGACTAAATTACCTTTTGGAGCCGGATCCATTTGTTATTAGGTTAGGTTATTAACTAAAATACTTACTCGTTTATATGCAGTCGTAGTCGTAGTTTCCTAGTGTTTAAATACGAGGAAACTATGCTAAAGAATTGTTTAAATATCCATTATCGACTTTGCATGGTGCAGGTAATATTTTAAAAAGAAGGGTGAACAATGGGGAATAAAACATAGGTTGACTTTGACTTCTACTTTATTGTACTTTTTAATTTTGTTTCATTAAGTGTCCAATTGTAATTGTATTCCGAACTGCATTGCGTCTACACAATACTACTAACTAATTACCAGCGTCATCAGCGCTATGTATGCTCTAAATTCGCACGCGAAAACAAATTTAGCATAATTTCCACCACGAGTTTGTAAATAAGATTATAATAAGACTTGTTTATGTATTCAATTCTAAATGTAAATGCAGCGATGTTAAATGCCCTTTCGTATTCAAACAAAACGTAGCTTCTTCAATCTTGTAATCTTAATTTGTATAAGAATGTTTGCACAAAAAGTAACACATACTTCAAACAAATTAAATTAAGGAGTTAAATACTCAATAATTTATTGTAATACTCTTGTGTTCGTCAAGTTGTGTTTCTTATTATTAATCAACAAACGGTTCCGATGCGGTTTCATCCGCATGAAATTATAAAAACTTTATTTTACTGTTTACAGTTGTCAAATGATCAATTGCAAATGTCAATATTACCTTTACCATAATAACCTTGCTTTCTTAATATTAGCACCTTGTAGTTTATGATCCCTTTCCCACATGAAGGTTTTTCCAATTTATTTACTCCCTAAGTTTAATAGTGTGAAAATGTATAGCCTAAAACATGTCGTAAGTGTATGGTTTTTTTTAAAAAAATAATTATTCAAAAATATGCTGTGATTGCTGACAACCTACGCCACAAAATAGTGCGTGTTTACGCTTTATTATATCAGTATAGATAAGTTTCCTCATTGTTAATTAAATCAAAGTCGATTTAATATGTTATTCATTTACTTTACAGTTTGCATAGAACGGAAAAAACAAGAAAACATAATGTTCCGTGCTAAAAATTTGTTTACTTTTCAAGCAGACTGAATGGCTGCGTTCAGATGAAAGAAGATATTATAATCTTTAATTTTCCATGCAGATGCTGAAAATCTACAATCAAACGATCTCGTTGTTATGAATACTGATTGTTGTTATTTAAAAAAAAATGTCTGTCGGATGTTTGGATCGCGATGGCAACAAACGGTGATCAAATATCAACAACAAATCTGATAATAAAAAATATAATCTGTATCGTTTAAAAACAAAAATTAAGCATAGACAAAACATAGAGCTAGAGCGTGACTCAATGGCGCGCACACAACTGTCACATATATCACAGTATAACTGAATAAACGGCAGATACGTTTATAATATTATGAATCTCATAAATCATTAGGTTATTCTAGTTCTGTGACTAATTTCTTATACGAAAACGTTGACATTATAAAGTGATTCTACAATACAAAATTATAATTATTATTTTATTTGCATTAGCAAAATGATTAGAGTTTCAGTTTAAGGAATTTACGTAGCGACTTTTTTCACAAGACGATTTTAAAAGCCTCAATTTATGGGTTTGAGATCAAAATATTCGAAATAAAGGCTTTGTAAGAGTTGCTTCTATATTTTTTATTTTTAACAACCTCAAAACTTGGATACTAAACTCCGAATATATAAATCCACTACTAATATCAAGATAGTCATACTAATTCCATTATTCACATCTTTCACCGGCATTCTATCATAAACCAGTCCGATCTTCAAACAGGAAACTATTCATTCACAGAATATCAAATCTGTTACATTACCTTTGATATTAAAGTGGATTTTGCATATAAATTATTTTCCAACGTACCTAGACCTATATATTGAGGTAGGAAGTGTTTCAAAATATTGTATCGAGGTGGGCGTACGTCCGACCTTGCTTGCGAACGAGGAATGTCCACGAGATACAATTTATTGTTATTTCATTTCAGGATCCGCTACTAAATATAACAGATTGTTTTCAACTAAATATTCTGCTATTAGAAAATTCTGTTTGGATATAAAAATATTCTCGTTGTAGACTAGTAAAAGAAGCACTTATTACTGCAAAAATGTGAAGAATTTGTTTTTATTTTTTATGTTTAAAGAGCGATAAGTAGTCTATTTTTTATGTTTTATGCTATTATATAGCATTTGTATGAATAGTCCCAATAAGTTACAGATTCAAAACTGCAATGTATAGTTGTAACTGCAGGAAGCAGTTTTTAGAAACGTCTAAACCTTCTAGAATCTATTATCTAAATTCAGACATTCAAATATGTGTTACATTTGACGTTAATGTTT